CAGTAATTAAGGCTTGAGAGAAATGTAAGAGAAGACTCTGGAGTGGATTAATTCCTACCTCTTCCTCTCTTCCCCTAGTCCCCAATGCCACTTGACTTACCCTTGAGAGGAGAGAGAGGGGTGCTCAAAAGATCCTTTTTCCAAGTCCTCTTTTAATTTTTCAAAGTACTAACAATCTTCTCCTTTATTTTTTCTAATTTTAATTTTTTAATCTTTAAAAATATTTTATTTATTTGAGAGACAGAGAGAGTGAGAGAGAGAGCACGAGAGTGGGGTGAGGGGCTCAGGAGAAGCAGACTCCCCGCTGAGCAGGAAGCCCGATGAGGCACTCAATCCCAGGACTCCGGGATCATGACCTGAGCCGAAGGCAGACACATAACAGACTGAGCCACTCAGGCACCCCAATCCTCTCTTTTAAAGGCACTCTGTCTCCAGTGCCCAGGCTAACTCCTTCTGCATCCACTTTGCCCCGGAGGCCCACCTTCTCAGTCCTCTCACCGTGATTTCAGCACTTTTCCATGCTCTTAACCAGACTCATTTTTATTTGGGAACCCTAGAGACTTGAGAAAGAACTGAGTATGGTAACGGGGATATGCTAAGAAAATACCACCAAGAGGAATATAGGAGCAGACAATTCTAAAAGAAGAGATATAAATTACCATTAAATATATATTTTGTAAAAGTCCATCGTGATGATGAATTCAAGAAGAGCCCTTTATCAAACAATGAGCTGCTGCAACCTCTGCCATCAGCTTGGAAAGAGGGAAAACCCCACCACCTCATGCTTGACGAACGTCTAAGGAAGCAGACACACTCAGATCCTGTTAGTTTACGTTCTCTTTCCTTTTCTAAAAAATTATTTGAAGAGGCGCCAGGGTGGCTCAGTCAATTGGGCGTCCGACTGGTGATTTCTTTCTGTTAGACCACGCTGCCTCCTCTCACATTTCACTTTATTCAAGGAATTCTGCTTTTTCTGATCTCATACCAAGGCATGTGGGTAAAACCTGGAACTCCGTGCATTCTCGCTACCGTAATCTCAGGCGTCTGTGGCTTCACTAGATATCAACAAATCGTGAAATGCCCAGGGAGAACTTGGTTGAGGTTTGGGATCTTAAAGAACACTTTCTGCACGTGTTCCTAAATTCACCATCCTCTTCTCTGCACTGCTGTTCGCCGCCCACCCTCTTCATGACATATGGTCTCAGAGTGTCTTTATATAACTATAAGAGGGCAGATAGAATCCCTAACATGAGCGATATCAAGGGCAGCCCTTGAGGCGCATGTGAGGCCTGAGGTCTGTGAAGTCCAAATGTCTTCGCTAATTTGGCCGTTGTGCCTGGGGCCATGTCTGTGTGAAAACCTATTCTCCTATGTTGAGGGACATAGGCAGACCCTATAGGCAGCATGTGGGGGAAACTGTGAAGTCAAGTCCATGCTCTACCATGTCCCCTCTGTGACTTTGGGCAAGTCCCACAGTCTCTGTCTCCATTCTTCTCAACTCTTACCAGTATTCCCAAACCCACGTCTTTTTGTGAAGAATGAAGGAAAGTGTTTGGCATTAAACTCTGCAAATGGCAGTGCTGACTGTAGTTACAATGGCACCTGGGCACCCACACTGGGTCGCTGAGAGTTTCTGTCATCTCGAGAATGCTGGGAGTGGCAGACGGTGTTGCACATGCCGTCCGCCCTCCTTATGCCGTGGCTCTGTGCTCTCACTCCTAGTTCTCTGTCTGCTCCTGCCCTATCCCTGCTCCTCCCTCCCACATTTCAGTAGTCAAGGATTCTCAAGCAGCAGTGACCACACAGATTATCTGTGTGAAGAGCCTGTTACTTGAGGTCCGGTCAGAAGATAAGCCCCCTAACTTTGGCGACTTACCCCATCCCCACCCTGTTCTGTCTCACCACACAGCACTCGCATGCACACACGTACTTTTTTTTACCCCTCACATTATCTTTTTTGCTAATGGCTAATAAAAATATTAGATTCTTGCTAAAGTTACCTGACTTCCCAGTTGATCTCCTCTTCCTCCCCACCTCCCCAGTGAAGCAGAGATGTGACATAGGGTATGAGAGGAAACTGAGAACTGGGGATACCGAGATTAAGAAGATACCTTGTCCTGTTGTAAAGGCTGCAAGAGAAGCGAGTGCAGAGTGCTCTGGGAGGCTCCCGATGTGGCAGGGAAGATGGGGAAAGGAGTAGAGGAGATGATACTTGAGTGACCTATACAAAAAGGTGGTGGGAGGTATCTCCGCTGTACAGTTGAGGAGGTGAAGGCAGAAGTTTAAGGACCGACCCCATGGTCGCAACTGGTCACTGGAGAGGCTAGAATTCGGACTCTGCATTTGGCTAGCTTAAGGTTTTGCACCAAGATAAACTACCGTATGAAAGATAAGCAAGTAATTTGGGGTCATTACTATTTATCCACTGCTTCGTAAGATTGCAAATGTATGAGTGCTAAAAGTGGAAGAAGCAAATAATTACTTTCCTGTACGTGAAAGAAGCTCTTTTTGGGAATAAAACAAAAGCTAGCGTTCAGCATAATGAAAAATTAGACTTTTCGAGAAGGCCATCTTATTTTTGCCGGTATGCTAAAAATTGTCACATATTTTTAACATCTTTTCTGCTAATAAAATTTTATGCACGATGCAAGATTAATTCTGATGTGCTAATATACAAGTGTAAATTCACATTTACACTTGTGTATTTGGTTAGTACTCTGGGCTTTTTTCCCCCTGCTTTTGAGAAGCTTCTTTTCTTCTTTCTTCCTTTCTTCAATGTAAGTATCCGGTGTAAATGAGAAAAAGTTAGCAGATTGTCATTTAACTCCAAGATATCTACATGCCGTATACTGCAAAGACGGTAAATTGATTTCACGTGTAAAAATCTTCTTCTGCAGTGTGTTACTTGTACCAAAGCAAATTATCTTGCCAAGACACTAAAATCCATTGTTTTGTTTCATCTGTGTTGTTATAGATCACTTTAAATTACACACCACCTAAAATTTGGTTTCAGTCCCTCAACAAATACCAATTTCATCTTATCTTGATTCCTGATGGCCTAGAAGAATGCAGATTCATTAAAATGTTCTATACACAGACTTGAACTTTAAGTTACTTCTTTTCCTCAAACATTTTCATTTCAGTTTTATCTTAATGGCATGTATTTCTGTGACAGAAAAAAAAATGTCAGCAGGCTTAAACTGGGCAAATTATAGAATTTATGTGGCTTCAGCCTCCTTTAAGTAAAAGGAGGTTGAGCTCTTAATTCCCTTTTTCTGTAAGATTCTATGATTCAGGATTTTGTTTCAAGTAATGCTCTCTACCTTTCATAAGTTGAAGATAGAGAGTTGTTGATGGATCAAGGCTGAAAAAATCATGAAGAAATCTTAACGTGTGCACTTACCACACATTAAGTTATCAGGTGTGACAAATCTGGTGGCTTCTTATATCCTTTTGTTTCCTAGCCAAAAGGCGTCAAAAGTAATCCATCTTCAGATGTAAGTGCATTTCATGAGATTTGACCATAGAATGATAAAGAGTACCAGCTTGTCACAGGCTCTCAGTTGGCAGACAATACATGATGGTTGAAGTTAATGTAGGCATATTTTGATTCACTTGCTGAGTTACACAGCATTTCTAAATGCGAGTCCAAAATTTTTTTTCAAAACTAAGCCCAGGAAGGGATATGAATGCATAAAGACTTACATGCATATGTTTATGGCAGCTTTATTTTAATAGCTAAAAACTAGAAACAACCAAATGTCTATCAACTGGTGAAGGATTCAACAAAATGTGGTACATTCATACGTGGAACACCACACTGCAATAAAACAGAACAAACTCCTGATAACATGCCACGACAGGGAGGGGTCTCAAAAGCATTATGCTCAATGAAAGACATCAGACAGAACAGACTACATACTGTATGGTTCCATTTATAGGAAATTCTAGAAAAGGCAAAGCTGTAGGGACAGAAAGCAGATCAGTTGTTGCCTGGGTCTGGGGGTAACAGGAAGGCACCGACTAGAATAAGGCACAAGGGTAATTTTGGTGGTAATGGAAACATTCTACATCATTTCAGTGGTGCTTACATGAATGTGCACATTTGTCAAAACTCAGCAATGTGTACACTTGAAATTGGTGACTTTTATTCAGTGTACATTTTACTTCAAATTTTTTTTTCAGGTTTTTATTTAAATTCCAGTTAGTTAACAGACAGTCTAATACTAGTTTCAGGTGTAGAATTTAGGGATTCATCACTTACATACAACACCTAGTGCTCCTCACGACAGGTGTCCTCCTTAATGCCCAGCACCCATTTAGCCCATCCCTCTACCCTCCTCTTCCCCTCCAGCAACCCTCAGTTCTCTATAGTTAAGAGTCTGTTTTATGGTTTGCCTCTCTCTTTTTTCCCCCCATGTTCATCTGTTTTGTTTCTTAAATTCCACGTGAGTGAAATCATAGGGTGTTTGTCTTTCTCTGACTGATTTATTTCACTTAGCCTAATACCCTCTACATCCATCCATGTTGTTGCAAATAGTAACATTTCATTCTTTTTGATGCCTGAGTAATATTCCATTGTGTACATCTGTATAGACCACATCTTTATCCATTCATCAGTTGGTGGTCATTTGGGCTCTTTCCATAATTTGGCTGTTGATAATGCTGCTGTAAACATCAGGGTGCATGTATCCCTTCAAATCAGTATTTTTTTTTTTTTGGTTAAATATTTATACCTCAAATTTTAAAACAAACAAGGCAGTATCTTGAATGACTTACAAAGTGACTACTTCAACCAGAGAAATAATCACTCTTAAATTTTGAACTTTGAAAGCTTATTTTTAATTAACGGTAAAAGATACAAATAGTATTTGTTTTTATGATGAATCGATACAAAAGTTTGACCCCAAAATGTGTTTGCATAGAAAACGGTAAATGATCAACTTGTTTTAATATCTCACTGCATTTTTGCTTTCTCTTTACCTCTCTGCCCAACCTAGAAAAACTAATTGAGGGACTCAAATCTCCTGACACTTCTCTCCTGCTCCCTGACCTCTTGCCTATGACAGACCCTTTTGGTAGCACGTCCGATGCTATAATTGGTAAAGTCGTCATCTGTTTCTTCAGTCCTGCATGATATATGTGTCTGTTTCAAGAATGATAACTAACTGGTTAACAGATCCCTAGTGAATAGCCCTGCTGAGGAGTGGAAAATGCCACAAAGCCTCCTTTAATCATATTTATTATCACCCCAAAGGAAGTGTTTTCTCTGCCTTCCAGGAGCACCACACTGTTATTTTTGCTTTGCTTGATAGCCTGAGATTTCTAGAGGGACTTTTTATGAATGAGGAGGAATGGAAAAATTCACTGTTCGTTACAAAATCTTCATGAAGGAAGTTGGTTTCAAGCTGGGACCTTACCTTTAGCAGATTCTTCTTTAGAAGGCCCCTGTATGTGCCGGGTATCCATAACAGGAAACACTTGCCCAGTGGTGAAGCCCCATGAGTAGAATCCAGGCAGGGGCTTGGTCTGCTCAGTCTGATACTGCCCTGTGCTCCTACAGCAAGGCAGGCAAGACGTACAAGATGTCCAGGGCCTCTGTACTCCAGGGCACATAGTCCACGAATTCAGCAAGGCCATGAGCCTAGAGAGAGATGGGCCTTCAGCTGCAGGATGTGAGACAGTGCAGAAGACCTCCTAGCTACGTCAGGGGGTGGGATTTGAAATGGACTAGTGGCCTTTGCGAGGCACAGAGGATGTCTGCCCCCAGGTTTATCCCTTAAGAAAAGCAAAATTACCGTAAGATATTACAGTGCCTTTCAGCCTATGTCTTCTGACATGGAAGAAATCTGCTGGGTGGCTCGTGTTCTACATTTATCTGTAAAAACTGAGACTCACCAAGACACGTCATAGCAGTTAACCTTGCAAATGCATGCTCAATCAGTGAAGCCCAGGCACTCAAAGCAGCAGAAATAAAGTAACTTCTTGTGCTGCCCATCTTGCCCTAGACTAGCATTTTAGAGCCCTGTAGAAGAAAGCCTTCACAGAATTGTCTAAAGAACCTTTTGACTCCTTTTCCCTTACCCTTTGTTCTCCTTTCTTAATGCTGTGTTACAAAAGAAAAAGCCGATGTTGCCGTTGAGAGTCTCATACCAGGACTGGAGCCCCCAGTGCCCCAGCGCCTTCCATCTCAGACGGAATCTGTGACCTCGAACCGCACAGGTCAGTCAGGTCTCTCTGTAGCTGCGGGGACCATTCATTGTGGTGGACCTCACAGTCAACCCTTCCACCTGCAGCAGGTGACCCTGGGCTTCTTTTGCAGCCTGGTCAATTGCCCCTAGAATGGATACTTCATATGGGTACAGCCCCAGCTTCTAGATGTTTAGTGATACCATTCCATGCTGAAGAGCAGAGTACTTTTTGGAGCCATGTTCTTTGTAGAGTGGTACTTGGGATTTCTCTGGTTATGGTGTTTCGTTATTCAAGATTCTTTTCACTGGTGGCAGGTTCCCTCCACCTCCTTCCCTAAAGAACTCTGCTGAGCTGCAAGGATGACCTTAACTCCTCCAAGGTTTCTGAGCTGTCTTTCCACCCAGTGGTGTCAGTAACTTCATGGAGCTCACGCTCTGGATGTTGACATTCTATTCCCAGCACAGTGCTTTTAGCCTATGTAGGTGGTTTGCTGTTAAATTGTAAGCAGAGTTGAAATCTGCCCTGGTCCAGCATTGTTTTTACCCTAATTTCAAACTTCACTCTTAATAGAATTCCTTAACTGCCCATAAATCCAGAGCTGATAACCTGCATTTTTATTGAGTCCATAGTTGCCTTGGTAAAAGTGTCTGATTTCCTACCTTGGAACAGAAAACAATTAGAAGTCTGGGAACTTCGAAAATGAACTCAAGGAGGTGGGGGAAAAAATGAACATGGAAGGCTAGATGGTTCCTTTCCCTTGTGCTTACTTGACTTTTCTAAAACTTTCCCAGAGAACAATTTGTATGTTAAAATGCTTGAACTCTGCATTTTGTCTTCCTTCTGTTCCTTACCTAAAAGTAAAATCATATATTCAGAGGAGCAATTCAAATTTAAAGAAGACTAGTAAGAAGCAAGATCATTTTATTTTGAATGGGGATCTGGTTGAGTTCTAGAAAATGCTGTTTATCGTGTCATAGTCTGCTAATAAGCCAGGGACAACCCATTCCTAGTCAGCTTAGATACCTCATCCTATTGTACCTTTCCCCCAAAATGTTTAGGGAAAGTTGAAATGAAACTCTTTAGTGGCAAAGTCCTTTTTCCCAAGTGGCATTTGCTGAGAACTGAGTTGCTAAAGTTTTATTGGCATCCAGATCACAGATTTGCTGACCCAGCACCCTCTGAGCAAAGAATTATTCCATATTTATATGTTCATGTTAAGAGGAATCTAGAAATACATGTTTCTATTGATGAAAATGCTGGGGGGCTTAAGATATTACTTGTGGTTTTCTTTCTCCCGCCTTGGCTTGTACATATGACATGTAAATGCAGTAACTTCAAGGCTAAGCTCTAATCTCATGATATTGTGTGTGCCATTTAATGCCATCACCGACTTGGGATGCTGTCAATCTGGACTCAGATTCTCTCACCGGGGAAGATTCCCTGATTGATTGCTCCCTGCTTTCTAACCCTACTACTGACCTTCTGGAAGAGTTTGCCCCCATAGCGATCTCTGCTCCAGCCCATAAAGGTAAATGCTTTCCTGTCCTCGGGCTCCCATGTCCTTCAAGGAGAACTGAATGACCCCTGAGAATTTTCCTTATGGAAAGTCTTTGCCAGTGAAGTGTTTGTGCCCCCTCCTTCATATGGAAAACTCGAGTTGGTACTCTAAGCCACTGTGTTCTAATCCCTCTCGGGAATAGTGCCTGATGAGGCTTAGACAACAGATTGGTGGAACCACTGCTTCCCGGCAGTCACGAGGACTGCAGATGTTCTGTGTTCTCCATTCACGGCGGAGCTCTATACCTTTGCAGTCCCCGCAAGTAGATGATTGAGTTGACTATCCACTGACTGACTGTTATTAATATGATACTGTTGGCCTTAGACCTTAAAATTGTTGCATCAAATCTGACTTAAAGTTTTTGGGTAGTGATTGCTACAATAAAAAAGCAGGCATAAGTCCTCAAAAGTCAGTCTTCAAAGATTGAACTTAGAATTCTAAGTTTTGAGTTTTGAGTCATGATTGATTAGTGGATTTCTCTTTCTCATCTACCACTTTCATTTCTTAGTCCTGGGTTAATACCTGTTTGAAATGCTGCTGGACAGAAGTAGCTTGAATTAATTGAGTTCTCTTCAGTGAGCTGTTTGTGAAAGTGACCGGTACAGTGCCTGGCTTACTGGATGCAGGCATTCACTAAACTTCTCTCTGTACTGGGGTGGTAACACTGGTTTCCTGGAAGGAGCAAATATATAGAAAACGAACAGTGTAAGTTTATTCTGAAAGAAATTCAAGAAGCAAGCCTCTCCAAGATGTCTAAAAATAATTAGTTTATGGTTTGCGGTGGTAATAGCTGAGTTTTGTTTTTACCCTTGATGGCATTAAAATGATTATGTTTTTATGGAGTGTGTGTTTAACCAATTACGTCTGGCAGGAGTGTGTCAGCAACAATATGTAATTACAGAGAAGCATCACTTGCAAAATAGGTGCTCAGCTAGCACTCGCTCGTAGGGTAATCTTAATCAGAATGGAGGGGACTATTCTAACAAACTTCTGCTTGAAATCTCAGGGCATGTGATCTTGGGCCCCAACATTCCCTGAGGCATCAGAGTTGGTGGAAAGTCTTTTTTCCCAATCACAGGACAGCAGGTCCTTTCAGAAGTATTTTGTTTGCCTTGTACACAAAAGCAGCAGCTGCTTTTTTTTTAAATTTAAATTCAATTAATTAACATATAGTGTATATAGCAGTTGCTTCTTAAAGAGCTTCTAATTACCTCCGCCCTGCCCCTGGCTTTGAGTTTCTTGAGTATTGTTTGTTAGACCTCTGTTTGTTCAATAAGGAAGATAAATGACTAATTCCTGTGCCTTTGTGAATTACTGATGCTGAAGAGATACCTCACAATAACTACAATTAATGGTCTTAAAATGGCAGAGAGAATTCATCCTCTAACCCTTCTCCCTAATCATTTCTGAAACTCTTAACGTGGCCAGCTCGAAACCGTTTTTTTTTTTTTCCTGTCTCCCTATTTTCCAGTTTTGTACTTTTATTTCAAGTCATGAAAATAAGCATTTTCCACCTTCAAAAACAAAAGTGATTGTATAGTTGGGAACTTTGTGCCTCTTACATGTTCTCTCATTTGCTAATCTCTACCTCTGTTGTTTCTGCTTGTGTACTTGCATTATGTATTAAGCTGCAGAAGATAGTAATCTCATCTCAGGTTTTGATGTCCCTGAGGGCTCGGACAAGGTGGCAGAAGATGAATTTGACCCTATTCCTGTATTGATAACCAAAAACCCACAAGGTAAGAAAGAGAGGATGGGGAAAAGAGGAGAGCTTGACATCACAGCTCACTACAAAGTAGTAGTGTACCTAATCTCCAAGAGGGGATAAAGCATCCACACTTAATGAAGGAAACTGGGGATAATGACAGGCCTTGGGGCTGAACCAGGATAAGATAGAGATACAGGTACAGATGGAGATACAGTTATCGTAAAGCTTGACTGTGATGTTTATTTAGAGGGAGGAAAAGTATTTAATACTTTGACTAAAACCTGATTTTTACAAAGTATCAAGCCAAAAATAAAGTGGAAACTTAGTGGAAACCGGAAGGCATATATTTTTTAAAAAGCTCTGAACATTTTTAGCATGATCAGAATCATCTGTAATAAATATTCTTCCCCAAGAGATTAAGTATGGTGCTTTGATACCATTTGCATCTTTTGGACATTTGTGAAGCATCCTTTTTCCTCTTTGATGGGTTAAAATCATTTCAATGTGCCATGAGACACCGAATTGACATGGGACCGTCTATATACTTCTTAAAGCATGTTTCTATTGCAGTGGTCTTAGAAACTAATTTCTTCCCAAAGCAAAAACTATTGGTTTTTACTTTGTCAGGGAGATGATTCGATGTGATCAGGAAGTTAGGGTCCAGCCAGCGGTTCCCAGGCAAAATATATATTCATTTGAAAATAGCATCCTCTTTGCAAGGTGTTCTGCCTCTAGTATGGTGTGCCTGAAGTTTTGGTGGGAGGTGGTGGATACCTAACTTGTATGTTTAAAAATCAACATGTAAGAGTTTGCAAATGTAAATTGTTGCTTCTCTAGGGTTTGGTTTGGTTTTTGTTTTTTTCTCCTTTGCTTGCTCTGCACATCTAAACCTTAACACTCTGTGTTTTGTACTGAATTCCTATCTCTCCACTTCCAGGTGGGCACTCTAGAAACAGCAGTGGGAGCTCTGAGTCCAGTCTTCCCAACCTAGCCAGGTCTTTACTGCTGGTGGATCAGCTCATAGACCTGTAGCCGTGACCCAGTAGCAGATGCAGTTCTGTAACCTTCACACCGTAATATACGTTTTCATTACGGAGTTATAAGAGAAATGATTTTTTTAAAAATCTGCTAATAAGGGGCCCTCTAGCCCTTATCTCCTATCCCTTGCCTTCTCCTGTAGAAAATGATAAGGAAAGAAAATCACTTTGGCCCTCCAGATATTCCTTGGCCAGTTCCTCCCTGTTAGTTTGCTGTGTTTTCTCATTACCCTTCTTCAATAGCATTATCTTAAATTAAGCGCTAGATGCCATGAGCTTCACCTCTGCTGGAATCAACTCCACCCAAAGCTTAACTGTAACTGAAACTAGTGAATTGACACCTTTGTCTCATTCTTGCTAGGAATGGCCTCCCAAACCAATCCTCCCAGCCCCAGTCTCCTTTGGCCAGATGCTGATGAATGTGTTTCTCTGTTTTTGCTTTTTATGCTGCTGCATTATCATGAGGACATGGCTTCTTCAGTTGGTTTTAACTCTAGGCTGTAGCCTAGAGATGGGTGTGTGACTTAAGAGAGGGTAAAACTGACTGACGGATGGGATATGTTTGAAAAGAGAAATTGAGCCCAGCTCTAGCCAACCAGCTTTGACCTTGTTTGATTCATAGATTTAGCCAAGGGATTTTACACCCCATGCAACCTGCCCAGCATTCATCCAGCATTCTGGCTCCCATTGAACTGTGCTTTCTCAGATCTGGAGACGTGACTGCAAGTACTTGAGATCCTTGGATAAAATGTGTACATTATATAAAACCCAAGTATTGCCATTCCTTTTCGTGTTAACTGTCCCGAGCCGGGATCTCAGAATTAGACCAAAACAAGACAATGGTGGTAATATGATACCTTTTATTAGAAGACTTTTCACTGGGGGGTGGATGGGGGAGGGGAAGGAATTGTAGCAGAAACAGATGTATTTTTCTTGTGATTTTTATTTTGAATCAAATATTGTAAATTGTGTATAAATGAAGACGCTGAATAGTTCTGTTTCCACTTGGCGTTTCAAGTCTGATATCAGGTGTCTGTACAGGGTTTTGATCTCTTTCCCTTGTATTAACTACACAGCAATCCTACAGTGTAACATATGGAATCATTTTGAGTAGACTTGTGTGTTGCTATACGCTTTCAGCAGGTCCTCTGTCTTTGTAGAATAAGCATGTTGTTTATTTTCAGATAATCAGAAATAAGTGTGCTGACAAGCTAGGCACAATTTGATTCTGGCTACTTACCTTTCTTTCTCTATGATGTTTGAATCGAAGGATGCAGCCAATGAAATATGCTCAGTTGGTTTTCCTTGGCTTCCTAGATTAAAAAAACAAAACAAAGTGTAGTTCCTCACTAACCTTAGAATATTGTTCATAAAATAAATAAAGGACCCTGCACTGATATGACAACATGCCTCATGGTCACCCTCTGTATATGTCCTTACTCATTGAAGTGTATTTTTTTTCCCTTACATAGAAAGCAATTTTATAAAATTGCTCTTTTGAAAAGCGGTGGGCACAGAGAAACCCATTATGGTTCTCTTCCTTGAGTGCCATTTTCCATGATCAGAAGGGGAAACTCTTAGTTGATCAGATTTGTACAAATAAAATTCCAAGCTCATTTGCTTGTTTCTCTGTCTAGTACTTTTGTTTCTTCTTCCTCACGTTTGCACTTTAAGGGGAAAAAAAAAGAAAGTTGAGCAGCAACAACAGCCTGCAAAACACTGCACTTTGGAGGTCAAGCTTTGACCCCAGAAATGTGAGAGCAGCCTTTGAAAGGCAGCGAAGGAAAAGTCTGAATCTTTCAGTCTTCCTTCTGACTTTAAATACTTCCTGTGGCAGCTGAAACTAGCTGAGCTAAGTAAAGCCCTCTATTAGGATAATGGATCATTTCCAAGATTGAGGGAGGCACAACCTTCCTGCTGAAGATAAAAAAAGGTGTCCTTGAAGAGCTCTCCATGATTGGATAGCAGTGAAAATGGGACTCGGTTTGCCCCTTTATGGACAGGAATATTACTGAAGATCAAAACTGTATTCTTTTTCCTGGACATAGAAAGAATGTATAAACTAATGAAGGAAATGTTTATTTTTAAATAAGAACAATGTTTTATGCCTATGTTTTCCAATTTGGTTTTTTTTCATACATATGCATGTTAGAAATAAAACGAAACATCTAGTTTCTCAATATAATTGAAAAAGTGAAGAGTACAGTTTAGAAATTCGGTATCTCTAAATTGTTCCTTTCATGTATTACCCATAATCACATTGAGATATATTCTCTAGTCATCTGGCTCAACAAAGCTTAATGGGAACTGTTAATGAAAATGAACAGACTAGAAGCCAGAGATTGGATGGAGGAAGTCTGAGAGAGATAATGACATGAAATCATCTTGGGTTTATTCTTTAGGAATAGGACCTCAAAGGGGAGAACTCTGTTTCTGTTAAGTTAGGGAATCCATGTGAGTGACTCGGTAAATGGGACCTCCCTTAGTTTATAGCTTCATCCCTGAGCTTAAAGGGTTGATTTGATATGACACTAGACACACTACAGTGTCTGATAATTGGTAGACATAGGAAACTCAAGACTGAGCCACAAGCGGGATCAGAGAGACCAGTCTCTAGTCCATCCACTTTCTCTCACAGGGGTGGGGTCTGAGGCCGGGCCATGGGAGAAGAGGCCTGGGCAGGACAGGCCACCTGGGGTCTCTCCCTGAACTTTACCAGTCACCGGCCAAGTAGCCGTCAGCAGGCACTTCACTTCTGAGAGCGGTTGTTCCTTATGTATACAATGATGAGTTTGGACTAGATGGTCTTTAAGCTTATGGAATTCTAGAGTTCTACGTACATATTATTATGCTTTGGAAGGACTATGAAGGATCTGTGTAATCCTGATGTTCTTCAGCTATCTTCTGTTACTGGAGCAGTATTTACATTTTAGAGAATTATAATGGGCCTTTACTAACTTGGGTGGCTCTTCCTTGGTTATCTGAATAGAAGCTTACATTATTGGACAGTTTTGGACATAGATTTTTCTTTCAAATATCTAGATACCATTTTTTTCTTTTTTAAATGGCCCTACCTATTCTAACAAAACAGTATCAGAAGACTTCAATTCTTTTAAAATATATAATCCGTGATCTGGCACTTAAAAATGGGCAGATACTATAAGCATATGTTTCTGATTTGCTTTAGTCCAACTGTGCAAGAGTAGTAACTATACCAGAACACATCACAATTTTTTTTTTCCCTTACAGCATTCAAATAACTAGATCACCAAATTTAAGTCCCAGTATTTTTAAAAACATAGGCCTCAGAGGAGATAAGGTTTAAATGGACACTTCTAACTACGATCATAATTAATGAGTTCTTCAGCAGACATACCAGAATTTTGGCCACTCATTGAGTGTTGTTCCCTTCAAAGGCATCTGGTTTTACTTGGGGAGCTAATACTTAACTCCAGTAATGCTGCCTTCACTTAGGTTAATTATGAAACTACCCCCCTCCTTAGAAATACCATCAAGGACAGTAATAAGGTGTAAGAAGATCCGTTGAATTATTATCTTTTTTTTTTTTTTAAAGATTTTATTTATTTATTTGACAGAGAGAGACACAGCGAGAGAGGGAACACAAGCAGGG